TGCGTTAATGATCTTGACTTTTCGAATGGAATTATAGACTTTTTAGATATTTTGAACACTGAGAATGGTATTTTAATTGGCGGCTCGATCAAAGCGGCCGCACCGTGTGACCATGGATAATCAGTGACGTGGAATTCGCCATGTTTATTTTCTAAAACGACCCCGAATCACACATTTTTTTTCATAGTAGCATGATAACGATTCTGTCTAACTTATTGGCGATACAGAATTACCTAGTTAGAATTTTTTTCAAATTATGCTACTACTACTAATTAAATACTATTATGTTAAGAAAGTTACAGAAAACAAAATAAAAATAAAAGAATTACATCTCTATAAGTCAGGAGAGGTGATTTCTCCTGTTTGTTCTTATGAAAATAAGCCTTGAAATATCTTTAATAAAATAGTATGAATTAACATTCTTTGCTAACTTTTTACTTTTAATTCTCTGTCCAACAATTTCTTACATAAAATATTAGCTATGACTTATAAAAAAGTTGGATCCATGCTTATGATATAGGTACGAACAATGAGATATCTATGACTGGTAACAGATTGATATTATTTAAAGATTTGTTAACTTTCTTCGTTAGGTCTTTGTACGTTTCCTTATACAGCGTGTCGTTGCAATCGCCACAATAAATGAACACACGTCTAACGCTACTTGCAATAATCATAAAAAAATACAAACGTTACAAAAAATTCATAACTAAAAAAATATTTTTCAAACAAACTAATAAAATAAAGAAGAAACAAAATTTGTAACATCCTACAACAACTGACTGATTCATACATTCAGAGACTTTTTCATTCGTTACCACAGCGTCGCATTACAAATCTCTCCTTCTAACAGTATGTTTTATTTCTTTTAAATTCTTTCAACCCATCCATGCTTTGTGACCCTTACAAATGAACTTTACGTTACAGTTTTATACGTAAGGGTGATCTAAAATTGTTTGTTTTGGAAAATTTAATAACTCGGTAAATATAGATGTTTAAATAATTTAAATGTTTAATACAATTTTAAAAAAATATCCTTTATATGTGTGTTCATTTATTGTCGCGGTTGTAACGACAAGCTGTATATTCGAAAACATGAAATGAACTTAAGTGAGCTCTTGACTAGTGACGATTTATTTTAAAACATTTAAATGAAAAGCAAAACGTTAACTAACTACGCCCTAAATCTATAACTTTATTCATGATGAGTAAACTTTGATTTAATCTGTGATTAACATCCCGACGGCTAATTTGGATGGGGTCCAAAGTGATGTCGGTTGGTCAGGGAATTGTTTAAACTAATTTATTTGAGTCATAAAACATCTTAATGGTGTTAAGGATGTGTTAATGATAAAAGACACAAATGTCTCTCTTCCAGGTTTTATTGCGTTTAGTCTTTAGTTAGATACTGGGCTAAGTAACTTTAGACAAACTTAATTCATCGATTATTTATAAAAATCGTAATATGTTTTAGTTTGGTATTGCATATTTTTAATAAATAACTTTAATAAACATAGCAAAAGCAATTATTCTTTGTACAATTATGGAATAAATATGAACAAAATTTAACTAATAATTAAATAGGTTTTCCGTTCGATAGACTAAATAATAAAGTACGAAAAAGAGATTAAAAATAATCATGTAAGCGTACACGCAGTAGACATTCATACGTTAAGCGTGCTGTGTGTGTATGTGGCGAGTGTTTGTTTACGTACTTAATTTTTTTTAAATAATTTTATGGTGTCGACCAAATTTGACGACGGCCTACAATAACAAATATGTGTTCACTACCAAGTTTTATGAGGAAAAATTGCTGAAAAATAATATTTGCTTTGGTGGGGCCATAATGGGCAGGATCCGGGATAGTGCCAAGGCCTCGCGTAAGCCCGGTGTAAAGTGGAAGTTTTTTACTTTCGCGTTTCGCGTTTCCTGTGTGTGAGGCAACCGGGGCCGCATTTGCAACTTCGAAGATGTCCATGGGCGGTGGTAATCACGTAACACAGGTGCAAAATGCCTGGTACTATAAGTTTTATAACGAGGCACCGTTGTAGTCTAACTAGTGATACGCATGTTTCATAAAGTAGCGCATAGCAGCTTCCCACTCTCACGTTAACGTTGAGCAGCAAACTTCACGCCGCATTGATTATCACATTTACAGAAAGTCGAGAAAATTGCCACTTTGTGATTAAATTCACCACGTCTGTGTATTCATCCAATTCTCTTAATTAGACATCATATTTTAATACGGTTTTAAATATGAAAGACAATAATATACACAAAGACACGTGACGATTTCTCGATAAGTAAAAAATGCAAACCTCTAACGTGCTCGTAGCACCTGGCTGTTCCATGAAGTCTTTATTCTATGAAGCTATAATAGTTTACGGAATGAAAGCGAGAACATCATTCAATAAGATAAAGATAACAAAGCTTACAAATTTTTGATTATGCGACGGTAAGGCAGAAGAAAATGTCAATAAACCAAGAGAGAGAAGACAAGAGAGCTGGTTCTTTTCTCACTCAAAGGTTAAGCATAACTATTCAGCGAGGAAATGCAGCTAGCGTTCTTGGCACCATGCCGCGTGGATTAGGTTTATTAGATAATATGTAATTTTAGATAGATTTAATCTTGTAAATACTAGATCAATAAAGATTGTACTCATTTATGAACCAAGTAAAACTTATTGTCAATATTTATTACGAGGCTACGAGTACACTTACACATTCGTACACATACACAAATACAGGCATTTTTTTATTTGTTGCCAGTAGTATTTGAAAGGGAAAAAAATTTACTTTAATTAATTCTGTTAATACTATAATTTTCCACATAATAAATTATTATAAATTGTTTTATTAAGTCAATAAAACTGTTTATTAAAGATGTAAGATAATATAGTAAAATATACTTTTAAACGAGGCTTATTGTTATAACATTAAGCTGCCCGTCGCCTACTGTAAACTTCACGTTTGTAAATAGTTCATGAATTAAATTACTCTTAATGTGAGAAATTATTTAAAAAAAATCTGGAGTCCGTTAATATTTTAAAAAAAAACCCGATTATTAAGAGTTTAACATGTACATCAAATAGTTTCCGTTTTTGAATTTAAAATACCGCCTCAGGGTGAAACATTACTCAAGTACTTTTCTTAGTACTATCTTGTAAGCCGGAATAGCTTTTAGTTTTAATTGTTCCCTAAGGCTTTGTTATAAATGACGTTAGATATGCGCTGGGAATTGATTAACTTTTTAAATTGCTTTTTGAAATCACGATTACATTTCTAAACCATTTCTTTGTGGTCTATTTTATTATTATTCTTTATACGAATTAACGTTAAATACATGATTAAGGGTAAAATAATTGACAGTTGGCACAGCGTAATGCTGAGCTGCTCTTTTAATTCACCGAAATATGGTGTACAAGATTTTTGCTTTGCTTTACTATTATTCATATTCTATTGAAATTAATTGATTTAACGGGATGCGTTTTAAAAGTAAATTCAATAGTTGCGGTAGGGCCACGCAAGTCTCCGCTATTGCAAAAATGGGCAGGTCCATCCGAGAAAGTGACACAACCTTACAGAAGACTGGTGTAAAGTGGAATAGTTTTACTCCTGCGTTTCGTCTGTTGACTTAGGTAGCCGGGGCCTATTTTTTATAACACAACGCGTCTGCGAATATTGCAAATGTCCATGGTTAATGGGCGGCGGTTTACACGTAACATCAGAACGTCAGCTCGCTTGCCAATTAATTACAGTAAAAAAATGTTGTTGGATGTCAGCTCAATATCTTTTCGTTTTTAACCGACTTCAAAAGGAGGAGATTCTCAATTCGACTGTATTTTTTTAAGTTTGTTACGTTAGAACTTTTGACTGAGTGAATCGATTTTGATGATTGTTTTTTTATTTGAAAACTGGTGCTTCCCATGTGGTCTCATATTAATTTAATTGGTATTCGACCTCAGCTCCGGAGATACTTAGGGAATTCCTGCAAAATGAATTATCAAATGAATACAGAGCGAGATATTTGAAGTCGGCTTTGTTTTTCGTTAGTAAAATATGATTTCTAAACATTTTTAATCGACTTCAAAAGGAGGTGGTTCTCAATTTGGCTGTATTTTTTTTAAAGTTTGTTACCTCAGAATTTTTGACTGAGTGAACCGGTTTTGATTATTTTTTTTTATTTAGAAGCTGGTGCTTCCCATGTGGTCCCATATTAATTTCATTGGTATTGGATCTTGGGCTCCGGAGATACTTAGGGAAATCTACTCAGGGAATTATAAAATGAATACAGAGCGAGATATTTGCATTCGGTTTTGTTTTTTGTTAGTAAAAAAACGGTTAATCTGATAGCTTTTTCGTCACATTTAGGCTCGGAGAGAAGCACTGTGACTCTTAAGTCACAGTGCTTCTCTTTTTTAGCATTGGCAAAAAATATTTAATTTACTTCAATAAACCACCTTTCAGAAATAAAGAAGTTTTATTAGAAGAAAACAAACGTTACTGAGAATACATATGTATGAACACTAAACTAACAATACATTAAACTCCACGTGCAAAATGAAAATATGCTTAAATTTATATTAATAATAGAAATAGAATCCAATTGTTGTCCGAAAATCTTAAGTTCTTGGCCGAAAAATTATGGTGTCTATCAAATTTTTATTTTATTTTTGTTACCTTGATTATATGTTTGATTTAATATGATTTTTGATTATAATTTAATTACATAAAACATTACATATAACGCTTACGTTAACGTGAATATTATTTTTAAACAATGTTTATGTTATTAAATTCTAATTTATTTATACGTAAGTGTCTAACGCGAACCAACAACGACCCCTCTCCCATAACATGATTTTAGATGGTAAGATATATAGGTGTATACTGATTATTTCTATAGTTTAGAAAAATAAAACTGGGATATAAGTTTAACTGTAAAAGGGATGTATAAAATCTATTCAAAATTTGATAAACACAATCAAAATCCTTATTCAAAACACAGGATATGTAGCTTCCGTAGTAATGCCGCAGTTGTTGTCTCGAGTCGTGATGTGGAAGTAACCATCCATCCCCCAGTGACTACCCCACGAGTTTTTAATGATCCAATAAGTTTCGCCATCTCTTTCCCCATAGCCCACCAAAGTGACTTCGTGGTTCAGATTCGAATCACTGAAATAAAGCGCGAAAAACTATTCTTATAGAAATATGTACAAGGAATAGCTAATAGTGTTTTAGTAAGCGAAGGTACTTATGTTATACTGAGAGAGAAATTTGACATTTTTATTACGATTTTGACGTTACTTACCACGTTTGGTCATAAAAAATTCCGCCGGAATACAGAATAAGATTTTCAGGACAATGCATTGACACTGATAGTGGTCCATGATTGACAACGGCCACCTATATGGCAATATGATTGTTAATTATTTTCTTTACATAAAATAAAGTAACAGCTTATAAATGTCCCACTGCTTGGCAAAGGCCTCCTCTGTACTAAAGGTTTGGGATGTAGTCTACCACGCGACCGCACTGCGGATTGGCGGACTTCACACATCTTCGAAACATTTTTTTGGTTTTATTTAGAAAATATGCAGGTTTACTCACGATCTTTTTCTTTACCGCTGAACACGTGATAAATTCTTTATATATGGCACAGTTAAATTCGGATCTAAAATCAAAAAAATATAATTAATTTGTCCATTTCACCTTCAAAGCGTCCACGCTTAATGGAGTGACATCGGTGAATCCGCGAATTTTATAAACGTCCGTCATATTACCGATGCGGCATAATCCGTCCTGAAAATGTGAAATTTTTGTTTTATGCATAAATAATATATAAAATATGATTTAAAATGTCACCTGTTTACCCTGTTATTATATATCCCATATTCTTCCTCAGTAGGTATACCGTACTTCGTTATCCAATTGTAAGCGGCAGTATCAGACCCACCGTCACATCCTTCGGCGCCAAAACTGAAATTAACAAAAACTTTAAATTAACTTATATGTTTTGTTATGTAAGATGATGACAAGCGAGCTGTACTTAATGTTAAGTAATACAATACCCCACCCATGGACATTTAGACCTCGCACTGCCTCCCAATGTTTCTAATCAGGTATAGCAAATTACTGATAAAGACATAAGGCAATTATGTCGTTTTCAAGTGGGAAGTAATAAGTGGTGGAAATATGGGTCTTTTTGTTTAGATTAATATAATCTAAACAAAAAGACTCATATTTGCGTCATTTGCTGTTGAAAATTTAGCCTTAACGGCGTTGCTGGTGACAAGAGGGCTGGTTCTTTTCTCGCTCAAAGGTTAAGCATAACTATTCAGCAAGCAAATGAATTGAGCGTTCTGGACACCATGCTTTAAATTAATATAAATTTAATATGTAATATAAGTGAATGTCCTTATTATTATAAATGAAATATTGGACGCAAAAGCCAGTGAAAATAACATGATCTGTTGGGTGCTTCATTAGTAACACTTCTATTTTTATCACTACTGCATTCCTACTCTCTGTTGCGCTCTAAAAACATGCATTTTATATGAAAATTAATTTAAATTGACATTTGCAACATACACGGTGTAGCATATACGTTGCCATCTTTAGAAGAGCTAGTGCATTTATGCAACAGCGAAAGCTGTAGCATATTATTACGCTGATTTTAGCTTTTCTGAGATGGATCAGGGTATAAATGAAGAAAGTCTTTGCTTTTGAATGTTATCAGAAAGGTCTGTTATCGCTCTATCGTTATTAAGAAGCTGCTACGTGCCGTGGTACGAATATATTTATTTATTTAAACTTTCACACCAAAATAGACATTGCGTGTAAGCGGACTTAATGCCTAAAGCATTCTCTACCGTCAACCTATGGGTGACATAGAGATAAAAGCGGAAGTTGTAAAAATTTTAAATGTAATATTATGTAAACAAGAATTATATACGTATTCATATATAATTCATTTAACATATACATCCTATATTACGTATATACATATTAAATCCAATATAACAAAAATATATTACATTATATAATGATTAAAAATAGAATACATATACACTATAATATTCATAAATACTTAAATAAATAATATACGATATCAATAACTAGTGCTGATTTTTTCGGCCAACTTACTTACATATAGATTTTTTTATCTTATTCTTAAAAGTTTAGTTACAGTTACGTTCAGTTATCTTCCTGATGTCATACGGAAGGTCATTCCAAAGGAAAATGGATTGAATGGGAAAAGAAAAGTACATAAAACTAGAGTTGTAGGACATTGAAGCAAGAGATTTTTCGATGAGCGAAGGGTCATGATTGTAATAAAGATATTGGATAAAAGGAATCAAATAGGAAGGAGGATATACTTGTTGGACACAGATTTTAATATACCTACATATGTAATTGTATATAAAAATCATACCTCCATGCGCAATCAATAAGTGCTTGGTTGCTTAGTCTTAACAGTCTCCCGCCATTGCTCCTGGCGAGCGCACCTTCGACAGCAGAGGTGGCGCCAAATGACCAACAACTCTTGCACTCCTTTTGATCTGTTGAATGATGGGTTTATTATTTCAGACAGCCACGAAGTACGATCCTGAGCCACCTGCATCCATCGACTTCCCGTACATTTGCACAGGTCGTCACTCCATTTAGTTGGGCGTCGTCCCACACCGTTTATTTTTATTAACAAAAATACCTTATAAATTCTAACGTTCTGGACTAACATTCCTTGTACAACTTGTACCTGCATTCTCGGAATTCAAATCGCCTTTTAAACGGCAATATTTCTGATTTTTTTTAATTTCACCTTAAGTGCAGTTTGTATTAATATCATTTATATTATATTAATATCATTTACATTTTTCGATAATGTTGCAAGATCATAAATTTGGTTTCTCTTAGATCTGTCAAAAATAATAAAAATTCGCCAGAAGAAACAATAGTTCCGGCAAATAGCACCAACCTTTAAGTAAGTCTTCAGGCGATGAACATGCAATGAATTGCAGCAACCATCATCTGATTTTATTTTTTTTTGCTTAAGTACACCTATTATTATATATTTATTATACGTATTAAGTTATTAAAACATAAACATAAAATTATTAAAATTTTAAAAGATAAGATGGCTCGGTACTAGCATCGATTTGAGAACATCACCTCTTCTACCACTACCTAAAATCTATTCGTAATATATATTTTTATAATATAACTATTTAATACCCGAGACTTCGTCTGTGTTTGACACTAACAATGTATTTAATCTGGTACGGCACCAATCACTGAACACGTTGTGCTTATGAAAATCGTTGTTCCTTATAGCTTTACCAAATATACTTTATATTATATGATGATATCACAAAGGTTTTTTTAGATAAGGACCAGTTTTCTAAGAAATTAATCTTCACAGAATTTGTTGATATCTATCCAGTAGATTATAAGTTATGCGCGCACAACGGCACGTCTATGACTCTATGGTACATACATCAATTATACATGTATTAAATTCTTTCTTCCAATGATTTTCATGATTTTTTTTCTGTGATGGGCGCCACATGATTTAATTATATAATCATCAATATTGAATAATATAATCATGTGGCATCCATGACTGTGTAAAATTTTTAATATTTATTTTTAATAAATTTTACCACGAACGGGGGTGACAAGCCCCAAAACTCTAGCGTCGAAGTTCTTCGGCAAGGTTTCGACTATTTCTTTGACTTGCGTATCACTGTATGGGAAAGAAATAGTGCCAAAATCATTTTTACTCCTTTTTTTCAAGCCTGTATAACGTTTCATCTCGTCGGGCGTTCGATCGGCAAATTTATTTATAGACAGCTTGTAACCGAGATTCAGCCTGTTGGTGGCAATAACACGTCTGAAAAGAGGATTACGAAAAAACTTTAAGTATAAACGTTTCTTTTCAGTTTTTATAATTGTATTAAATCTCACCTCATGTTGTTTAAAAAAATACTTTTTCGCATTGCGTGTTCGTCATCATCCGAATAAACTCGGTCGTGCTTCCGTTTGAATCTGAAAATCAAGTAACATCAGTTAACGTACCACTTGAATGCATGACATTACTGTTATAGAACCGAAAGAACAATCTTACGTCTCAAAAGCATGATCTACGTGTTTAATGTTTTCAGGATCCATGAGAAGTAAGGACTTAGTAACTTTTTCGTCGTCTAAAGTGTACATCACAGAGCTTTTGTCACAGTCATCTAAAATTTAAGAATGATAAGATAATAAATGTTGTTTATGTTTTAAAAAAATATTTCACGAAAACGTAAACCAATTTCAATAGAAATGGCGACATCTCTTGTTAGAATTATCGTTGTAAAACAAAATTCGAAATTGTTTGTATGTACATCATACAAAGAACGTAACAGTAGATGCGCCACGCCTTGCTTGAAATGTGAAATAACAATGTAGATAACAGCCATTTAGGTTAGTGGTTAGCGTATATGCACGAATCTGGAGGACTGGAATTCGTTTCCCAACGGCAAATTTTTGGTTCTTTATATTATTTACGGTCAAAAACAGTTTAATGTTTCTTCCTCTTAATATAGCACGTATTACGTAGTACAATATGAGGAAGCTCAAAGCCGCTCAGTGAGCTACGGATCGAGCTATGCTAGGTATTTCTCCTCCGATAGAGTTTGCAATGGAGACAACCGCTGTTTGCATTAGTAAGCTGTGGCACGAAGAATAGCGCATAGCTCGCAGAGCCAATTACCGATAGAAGAACCCGCTTCTAGAGTGGTAAACTCGTATACTCAGGATCATACTTCATGGCGGTCTGTCAGGGAGGCCTATGTTCAGCAATAGATTCAAACAGGCTGAAATGATAATGATGATGATGCTATGTATAGCGTTAAGACAGAGTGTATACAGGCATAATGTTCTATGGAAATTATTTACACTTTATGTAGTGACCCCTTGATTTCAGCCGTGTTGGGTGGTTATAATGTCGCCTTTATACGGTTATGCTGAATGATAGAATAAAGGCCCATTAATTTATAATTGTGTCAACAACTCTAACGGCCGGTTTCTGAAACACAGATCATCGTAGATGCCAACTAATCATCTGTCAAATGGCTTTCAATTTTCATTTTAGTTGCCAAAAGGATGGTTAAACTCTTTGGATTGATCGTTCTGATCAATAGAAGATCATTCTGGTCAATTCAGAGAGTTTAACCGTCCTTTTGGCAACTAAAATGAAATTTAAAAAGCCACTTGACGGCTGATTAGTTGACATGTACGATGATCTGTGTTTCAGAAACCGGGCGTAAGTGGCGCAGTCATATATAAATAAACAAATTGACAATTAATCTGAACGATCACGTTTTTTTTAACATTTTCGTCTTCGAAGACAAAAAGGAAATACGATAATTCAAACAAGACATTACATTATCGAAGATGACAGAAAGTTAAATTTAAAAAATAATTGATTTAGCGCATAGATTAAAGGTTCTGATAATGAAAAAGACGATCAAATATTTATTTCCACACTAATTATATTTACATTTAAATGCCGTTTAGATTTGATTTTGCCCCAAAAGAATAATTGGTATGGGTTTAAAAAAAAACCGTTTTTATACTGCCATGATTTTTAAAGCATTTATTATAAATATGACGGTACGTACTAAGTAAGTAATAAACTTACATTCTGATGTATCAAATATTATGTCGTCATCGAAATCTGTTTGGAAATTGTGGAATTCCCATACTTCATGATTTTGAACGCTCTCTAGCCAGATGTTATACTCAATTTTCTCATATCTGGAAAAAATAGCAACGGTTGTAATATAAAAGAAATTAAATTTGCTGGTATATGATGGATTAGGGTGGTAGGGCCACGCAGCAGCCGCGGCTGGTGCACGAATAGACAGGCCCGTCCGGGTAAGTACTACGACCTCACAGAAGACCAGCGTAAAGTGGAAGCATGACAAATACTTTCTCGTTTCGTCTGGTGAGTGAGGTAGCCAGAGCCCAATTTTCATTGTCAACGCATCTGTAACCCTCGGGTGTAGCAGATGTCCATGGGCGGCGGTATTCGCTTAACATCAGGTGAACCGTCTGCTCGTTTGGCAACTTTTCACATAAAAAAAAATATGAAAGAAGATGGCAAACGAGTCAAGTAGGTGACCAAAAATTAATAAGTAGATATATCACCACCCTTAATGTATTATGGATATAGCTCCGGAACCTACACGAGGGGCCTGACGAACACGTGCCGCGATAGCGCGGCGCCCTAATGATATACTTAATATTATAATAGGCTCTCACTCATCACGACTCCACGGGAGGTTTCAGGGTGAGGATTTGGCAGAGAAAGTGGGGAATGCTGATGTACGACGTGGCGGCGCGGCCGACACGCGGATCTATCTTCCGGCGCGCGAAAAGAGCCGTATCACAATTCCTCAATTGTTCTTACCAGTGGAATAATATTGTACGCTGGCGATTGCCAAATATAATATTGATTCTCCGTTATCGTGATGTTTTCCGTTGTTATAAACGCTCGAGCGTTAAAGTCCGTCAAATCAAAAGGGGTCGGGACAAGTTTGAAAGATCCCGCGTGCGAGTCACGTGTCCGGTGTTGCCGTCTTAAAAACTGAAAGCGAAACCACAGATAGGTTCCGAACAATTGTGGTTTTAATGTATGTACCTGATTGGTATCCAAATATTGTTTTCTTCATCATGATTCACGGTTAGTGTATATTTGTCATTGGTTACGTCGACTTCTTCACAATAATAAATCGAATAATTATCTCCTCTTAATGTATCTACACCTGTAATATTTGCAACAATGCATTTTTTATTACTTACAATTATTTGCTTAAAACGATCATATTATTTGATCTGTTTATATTAACATGCTCTTCGGCCATATTACGATTTATTTTTCTATTTCTATTGTTTTAAGCGTCGGGTTGATTTGCATACAATGCTAAAAGTACTAAGTGTCATTCGAATCCCTAAAATACCTACACAACATTTAGACTTAATCGGTGCGGTCTTTAAAACAACTTTTAATAGAGTCCTGTATTCTGTCATCAAAAATATAATATTTTATCTTAAGTGTAGAGATTAGCAAAATGAAAAATTTAATTTCAAATAGCAATGGCGACATCTTTCATTTGAGTTATCTTTGTAAAACGATATTTGAAATTGTTTGTGTGCTGTAAAGAACATAACAATATATGCACCAAGCATTGCTTAAAATACGAATAATAAAAACAATGTAGATAAAAATACTTTGTGATTTTCGTCGGTGTGGCAATCAGCCCTTTTGTTTAGTGGTTAAAGCGTCTGGGTTCTTCACGATTCCGGAACGTGGGTTCGTTCCAAGGAGTCAAATGTTTAAGTTTATTTTTGATACAAATTTTAATGATTCATCTTAAGTGCAGAATGCGTGCAAGAACAAGTATACTATGGTGTGTAATGTTACGTTACAACCGCTTAACCTTTGTTATTTTCTTAAAATATTTTTACCTATGTATTTATATTCTTTCATTAGCGTTGGTAAGCCTGTTTCTGCTTCAATACGATTAGAGCTGGAACCATGCCGTTTATTACAAACCATTTCATTAGTGTCCTGTTGGTTTGTAACCGGGTGGACCTTGGGAGACAAACATGTAATATGACTAAAAAACAAAGTTATAATTTTAAGTTCGAAATTTATGGTGAATTTATATTTTTAGTTTCAGCCTATGGACTATTAAAACTTTATCGAACGAGGAACCCGTCGACTAACTAGCGCGGGCCGCTCGTGTGCCCATGCGTGCGTTCGAGCATGCAAGCATGAGTTTGTTCAGCCATTTGGTGTAGACATGCGCATAGGACATGAATTAGGAATTTAGACCAGAAGAATAAACAGAACCAAAGGTCATATTGTTAGACGGATTACTTAAACTGTAGAGGCGACTGGAGGTGAAGGCATCTCTGTTTGTAATACTTCTAATGTGTGAGGTAAATTACATTGAGACGACGAAGTTTAACCAAATAACTTAATATGCCCGAGCTTTTTGTTCAGGCGACAACGGGTCTGAAGGTGTTTAGTGTTAACCTGCGCTTTTAAAGACGAGATTGCTCCGTAGATTCTCTATTTGCGTCTAGTTACTGGTCACAATTTTTTTAAGAGGATAGCTTTTCCACCGGGATGAATTTCTGATTAGAAAAGGGCCGAGTCATCCGCGAAAGGGGCGAGTTCGACAGGCGGACGCATATGCCTATACGTTTGTGTGAGTTGTTACGACCTTTCAGGATATGCTCCGTTAGGTGAAATGAGAGACCTGTTTGAGACAGGAGTGGTTTCAACGGGAGACAAGGTCCATAACACTGTTGAGGAAGGTGCGATCGTACAACTTCCTAAGCAATTGAGGAGGCTGATAATATGATTGCTGTATGGCTGTTTTAGCGGTCTTTTCATCTTGCAAATGCCGACAACTATAGTTTCTGTACAGGCGCCTGGAAAGGAGCATCGACAGAAGCTGCAGGGCTTCTAAGATTAAATTGTATAACTGATCGAATTTGGGGCGAATCTTGGCTTCAATTTTTAGTTACATCTTTGTTCTCTCCGAGTGCAATTGTATCTAAACGTTCTTAACGCAGCTCTTATTTTGACAACACTGCCATCTCCGATAGGTGGAAAGGAAAAATTACTTTTGGCATATCTACATCAAGCATAGAATTATAAATCAAACACACTACGCCATTTGGTCGCAGAAATTATTAGATATATCTATGGGATGGTAATTATAAATCTATTTTATTAACGAAATGAATTTTTTATATAAAAGTCAGTGTTAAACTTCTAGTTCATTTTTTTTATGTATATTTTTTAGTCATATCAAGGAATTTAAAATTTGTAATAACTCACCTCGTATTTGATGCCATATTCATTTTCGAATGCGAAAGATACCGTGAATGTTTTCACTGCACCGTTATTGTAGTCAATTCTCGACCTATTACTGGTGTGCCTGTCGAGGAGTCAGGATAAAAATATAGTGAAGGAAAAAAGGCATACTGGGAATATTGGTTTTGAGATAAAGGTTCAATTAATTTTGAACCGTTATCTCGAAACCAATATCTATACATCTATCTATACAGATAAATAATTTTGGAGTGTTTGTTTGTAATATTAAAATAACCGCTTTTTAATAAATACATATGGATGTATACACGGTATTTATACCAAAATAACAATTTTTACAATTTTTGTCTGTCTGTCTGTTTGTTCCGGCGAATCTCTGAAACAGCTAGACCAATTTTGACGGGCACTTTCACTTTGCACTTTCACTGGCAGATAGCTGATGTCATAAGAAGTAACTTAGGCTACTTTTGTTTTAGAAATTTTATTTATTTTAAATTGCACGCGGACGAAGTCGCGGGGCACAGCTAGTAATAAATAAAAAGTTAGCGTGTCGTGCTTAATCAACGAATGCAAGTTGTTCGTTATATTATATGTCAATAAAGAGTGTATTTACATGTACATTATACAGTTGCATATTTGGACCACACGGACTCGTTTCTGTTAAAATAAAATTACATTAAAATAAATTAATTTATTGATTAATATATATACAGCGTGTCGTTACAATCGCGACAACAAATGAACACACGTCTAACGCTACTTCCCAATAGTCATAAAAAAATATAATATCGGAAGCATTTTATATTCCCTAGTGGTTTTCGTCGTACAATGTTTGGCAAATGAATTAAAATATTATTTTAATGCTGGTTAGTACTTTCGTATGCTATAAGTACCATGTTATAGTATATAAATTACATTATTTGGAGAATATTAGATGATTTTTTTTAGTATTTAAACTTTAATCTGTAATATTAATGTGTGCTATATAGTAGGGGTGTCAGACTTGGTTAGACCCAAGATCTGCTGTTCACTGACAACACCCTGTGCGATCGACCAATTATATACTTCTTGAAATCTTAAATAAACAGTTCAGTACTCAATTATGCAGTATTTTTAAAATATAAAACAAAAAATTATTCTTAGTAACTACTTATTTATGTTAGTATGAGCATTGCGTTTGAGCATTTTTCGCTAGATTAGCAAAATCAGGTTTGTTGTTTGAAATTGCCAAACTTAAGGAATCTAAAGATACATGATGATGCGTGCAGCACTTAGTGATTAGGTACGTTGCGCACTCTGTTATATGTATTCATATTTTTTGCCTTGCCACTATCTACTGGACTAATAGTCTCGATCGACCGGTTGGCCACACCTGCCCTATAGCGTACTCCTTAGTATCCCGGACCCTCGAGCGACCGAGTTCAAATCACGGTGATTATAAATAAATGTTTTCGGACACACTTTTACGCAACGTTTTCTAGTCTCAAAGTAAGCAACGCTTGTACTATGGGTACCTAATAGAAAACTGATAAACATAAATGAACATACTTTTCTTTTGTAAATAAATACATATTATCCATATATAAACAACCAGACACTAGAAAAACACTATGTTCATCACACAATATTTTTCCAGTAGTGGGGATCGAACCCACACCCTCTGACGCAGCAGGTAGGTACACCACCCACTACGCCGTTCGGGTCGTCAAACCAAGGAAACCAGTGATGAAACCAAGGAAATTGATATTTGCAAATTTAAGTGCTGACTTATAACGTGCCCATCGCTAAAGAGAAACATGTTGAGGAAACCTGCATTTATGTAAAAAATAGTAGCAGAAAAATATTTGTAGTTTCCCATTCTGAAATTGCACATGGCGCCGCGTCATAAACTACAGACTCCGTGCATAGAAGGCTCTTGCCCAGCAGTGGGACAAATATAGGTTGTTATTTTACTATTTTTTGCATTTTTACCTAGTTAGAAATTATCGTTTTAGATAACACACGTTCAGCATAATTCTTGTAAGCTTACCATACTTTCATATTCTCCACTAAGCCACCCGTGACCGATATTCTTATTTTTTCAAACGAATACTTCTTGGGCCATGCTATTGGCAACTCCTCCTTGACTGGAATTACAAAATTATAATTTGAACAATGACCATACAGGGATGCTATAGCATTCGATATTATTAATTTCGTATAACATATGACATAAAATATGTTATTCGAAGTTTAATTATCATAATAAATTATATTATTGTTTAATTTATAAATCGCAACAATTTTGTTCATATACATAAACATTTTGAAATTACTTTTGGGCAGCTACGTATATATTTTTGTGAAAAGTCATCGAAAGTGAGATCTCGAATAAAATAAAGTTATTTATTTACAAAACCATACCAACGGCACCGAAAGCAAAAACCACCATGAGAAGAAGTATAAAAATACTGGAATTCATTATTACGAGCTTTAATATATTGTCTAATATTTATAACGAACTGAATTCTCGCGCGGCCTTTATATGGTGTTAGATTAATGGAAATAATTAATTTTGATACAATTAATTAACAAGTGTAGTTGTGGAACGTGTATATATTAAATTGTTGGCTCAGTATACTATGTCCTATATAAATATTTATGTAGCCCCGCCATATTATTTAACAACAAGAATAAAAAGTTAACACAGATATAATTTGGTTTCGGTGTTAAGTAGAGTAAAATCTTATTAGCATATTGTTTGAAGTTAATTAAATTTGAAATTGATGTTATTGGTAAAACGCGAAAATGGAATTAAATTTTATTGTAACATTATAATAACATTATGTGTAAATGTGTTACATTCCAAGCCAAAGGAAGAATTTGATGAGATTTATTAAAGGTTATTTAATAATAGGGGCGGAGCTTGCCATTTAAAAAAGCACTTGGGTTGTATTAAGTTTGATTTTGTCAATTTTTTTTGATACTAAACAGAAATTGTAAAGCAAAATGGTAAGAAAAAGTTCTCACAAACTATCTAATAACCTGTTATATACAACAACATTTGTTGGATATAACAGGTTATTGGATAGTTTGTGAGTTTTGGCTACACTGCAGCATGACTACAATGGCCGATTTCAGACAATCTTAGACTAAGGGAAGTTATTAAAAAAATCTACAAATGTTAAAAATTTCTCTCTTAAAGAGTCTGTCAGAAAAGTAACTGTCTAAGTTATGATTTGGCAGTATGTTCAACGAACAAATTATTCCGGCTACTGAATATTCAGTTTACCTTTTGTTCCTATCAGGGAACACCACGGTTACTCTCAAGTAACGATCCGATACGATGATGTTGATTTATATGAAACACGATTTACGAAATTCTGACGACAGCGGAACGGTCACAATTTTAGCTGGCTTACCGTTTGTCTTCCTGTCGCATTCACTTGATGGATATAGAAAATAGGGAAACGCACAATTTACTTTATTCAACAAGGTTTATGTGTAAATTACATGCGAAACCGGGGCGGGTCGCTAGTCTTCAATAAATAATATAAATTTATGATTGAAAGTTCAATATTGATGTCAATAAGATCTTTTAAAATATCTACAGGTCGAACTTAGGTACTTTTAAAGATATGTTACAAATAAAATATGTCATAGTAAAAGGAATAAAACATGTCCATATAATATTTCCGGTAGTTCATGATTTCAGCTGTTGCGAAACAATTAAATATAATGACTGATAAAGCTAACGAGTTATTTTTAATAACTAATTACGAAAATTAGTAATTAATATTGATTAACGTATTTTTAAATAAGCTGATACTAAATGATAACTTTTCGAGTTAAAAATGTGTTGCAATTCTGGAGAGGCGTAAACCATTTGAATATACAGGTAATATAATAAAAAAAATGTAGTGTCGCGAGCGATAAGTATTAGTAATATATATTAAAAGTTTCTTGGTATCATTTGGCATTATACCTATGTTATAATAAAGTAATTAATGTAACATTAGGTGGGTTGCCATGTTAAGGAAAAGGTTCTCGGAATCATCATACACCAACGTTTAATTAAACAAGGTTTGAGACGACGTCATATTTATCTAATATATTATAACGTATAAATAAGCAGGGAGGTGATAACAAAGATATAAATTTTAAAACAGGTTCAACAGTTTACTTGAATTTGTCTATAAAAGTAAAGTCAAGTATCAGTACATGTCCCATTGCTGGGCAAAAGCCTCTCCACTACGCGGCATAGCCCTCTCCATATCAGGGCGTAGTCCACTACGCGGTCCTCCTGCGGTGTGGCGGATTCACATATCTTCGAAATACTCTTTTTTGTTATTATTTTGAAAATATGGCAGGTTTCCTCACGATGTTTTCCTTCACCGCTCAGCGGGAGTTTGACTCTTCCACGTGCCTCGCCAGAACACTCGCTATGTCGCCCCTGACCTCCGACGCGAGGTTCGGGCTCCGCCTTTTTATGTTCACTCTAGGGCTAGGGACCACAAGACCACATGGAGTCAGGGTGCTCTGTGACTAATTTTGAATGTAACTTAGTCCATTATTATCATAGATTTATAAAAATCACGTATAAAACCATCGGCTTGAGTTACGTAAAGGCGAATTTAATTTAAATCAGTTTATAATACACCATGGTAACATTAAGGCTTTTAACAAAAAGATTTTATTAAATTTGTAATCGAGTTTCGAAGTCGATATTAGCATATTGGCTGTTCCATTATTTTTGATGCCTAATTTTATGTCATATTTAAAACCAAAAGTATTTCCCGATCATTTATATCAAACAAACATGTATATACCTACATTATTGTATTAGTATTATTTTTTAATAAAAATTTATTCCAATCGGATTCAAATCCTTCAGTACTTTTTAATTTTTTGTGTTATCATGAATTCTTGTAAAAAATATGAATGTTTTAAGTGTGGACAAGACAGTGTTTTATGGAAGGTTTTTAAATGTGAAAATGTTGACAATAGTGAAATGCCGGATTTTCTTAGTGAAAATAACAAGATTTAATTACGTTTTTTTCTCGAAAAGTATAGATGACTATCAATTTTTTTATTGATTACTTAGTTAGTGATATGTCTCTATAGTTATCAGTCGTTTAAATTTTTCTTTTGTTTGCTATATAAAAGTAGTGGGCTGCTGAAATTTTACCTTGACAAAGTATAAATACTAGTATTAGTATATTAAATACTGAAGCAACAATACGTTTTGTATCCGGAAAATCTAGACTTTATGTATGGTCAATTTTATATTAGTTGTCAAATCTAAGAAAGAAGAATGAACTTATTTTACTTTGCCTAGTAAATGTTATTCCTACCTTCTTTTTATAATTTGTAACAAGATTTACATTTACTGTTTGTCGTGTCGTCGTGCGACAGGAAACTTTGCAAAGGAGGAGCATAGAGCAAACTAAATTGCTTTTATTAACATGCTTATTCCTATCAACTTAAAGCTCATTTTCTAAATGTTTATTATTCTTATTCTGTTTGACGCAGTGCAGTCGATTTCAGAGCTACTTTATGAACACGAGAAGTCACATAAATAGGACGTAGATATTTTAATAACATAACTGTATTGTTTTAACACGTATGAGCAACTCGTTCATTTTTATTTTTATTTTATAATAACCAGTTTATTGGTTACAAAAAAAGTGAAAAACATGTAGTCATTAGAAGCCCTATAATCCTATCCTAGTTAACACTGATTGTTCTTGTATGAAAATGAAAATGTAAATTAAAATACAAAAAAAAAATTTTGGTAACAAAGAATATGATTAGGTTTTAATATATGATAAATCAGAAAAAAAAAATTAAAAATACCAAATTACCCAAAACGATCAAAAGCAATACATTACAGGATTTACTTTAACTTCTCCTCCGTCTATCTATGTGTGTTCGTGTATGTGTATAAGTGTTTGTACGTATTATTTATATATTACATACATAATTATATCTCTAAAATTTTCATGTGAGGGTAGTTTTCAGATTAGATTTATATAAAGTCAAGTCAAGAAAAGTAAAAGGCATGACTTTGATTTTGATTCGAATAGAATGAATAAAAAAAAATCGAAAATATTTAAGACTAATATGGAGTCTAGATTTAACAAATTGAAAATGGGAAAGGTGTGAACAGAAATTGAACATTTTTTATTTTTATTTTGTTTCACAATAAAACTACTAACCATTGTCTGTCCATCTGTTTGTCCGTCTGTCACCAGGCTGTATCTCATGAACCGTGATAGTTATAAAGTTGAAATTTTCATCGAGTATGTATTTTTGTTACCACTGTAACAACAAAATAAAAAAAAATATTTAAGTTGGGCTCCCGTACAACAGACATGATTTTTTTTGGAGTTTTTATGGATAATGGTACGAAAACTTTCATGCGCGGAATCGGACTCGCATTTGGCCCGTTTTTTCATTGCATATTTTTTCTGCAAAACTTTAAGAAACTGGTAGCATTCTGCACTCGCCTATATAAACTATCAGTGTGGGAAATTACATTCTCCTCCGTCCGCGCAATTTCCTTCAAAAGGGGTAGTAGTACTAGTTTTTGGTGCACTTATTAATGTATAGATATCATGATATGATTCGTAGCTTTACTGGAACTGTAAATATTATTGAAGTGTGGAAACGTCAGGTAAATGGATCGAGCCTTTTAGACACAAAATACCTACATTGTTTGTAGGTAAAATAATTACTAGGTCAAAATAAATGAAGTTATTTAACAATTTCATATTATATCTGGTAATACATAGATCTAAAATATTAAAACGCTATCTATTATTTTTAATATTAATTTAAATTACAGAGGCACTTCAAATTAACATAACAATAATTATACCTGAAGTTTTCCATATTAGGTAACTTTTAATTGAAGTTATTTATTTGACTAATAAGTTTATCGACATAATATCTTTGATGCATAAACTGGTGACTTAAAACTGCAAACATGAGAAACAGTTTATTTACGTTGTCAGATTATTTTTATAGAACGCCAGCGGTAAAAAAACTTGATTTAGCTAATTATTCTCACAAAAGCAACCTTTACACTTGAAAAAGTAATTATATCGTACATAATTTAGAATAATATACGATATAATTTATACAAATGATAGTGCACTAAGGATCATCTGTCGTAATTATTGTCAAAAAACTTAGGTAAGTCAAAGTTAGTCTGACCTTAGCCCTGGTAGTTATTTTGATATTATCCGTTTATTTTATAATGCTATATCTTTAATACTTTAATTTTAAACTTCAGGAATTTAGAGAAACTCGGACTAGGAAATTAAATAAATGAAGATCCTTAACAGTTTTATCGGGTATCATTTTATTTTGTTAAGAATTGTCTAGTGCTTGATTACTATGGTCCAATCGGACCGTCGTTTGACTTCATACGACTGTAGACGATAAATG